CGAGGAGGCCCAATGTCTACCTGCCACCCTACTACTAAACCTATAAATATATGCACATACGTCTATTTCCCTCATAATCATAAATATATTTGCATATGTACATTTCTGTATTTAGGCTTCTGTGTATGCCCTTTGCCTCCTACTCCTTTCCTCTATTTCCTTACACTTTCCTCCTGTCCCACTACCATGTTCAGCCTTCATTCTGGTTTCAGTAATTCCCCTCACTTACCTTAAAACTATGTTTCTTATTGCTATTGTTTTGAGACTTTTAAATACTATTGTGCTTTGAGAGAAGGCCAACAGCAGTTGAGGCTCCCATTCAACAATCTCTACACAAGTCGTCCCATGGCCTTGGTTACATTCCTCACAATGCACTGACTTCCTCGTTATTTCCATTCTGTGGTGCTGTTCCCATTAACTTAGTCTCCCTGCATCCTTGCATTCTCCTCTTTGCTTTAAAACAGGTGTCAATCATTTAGTCTCATATAGATTCCACAAGGTTTTCAGTGGCGTCCTTTGTTTTGTTCTATCTTTTTCTCCCATGCTAACCTGGACCTACTATTGTATCCTTCCTTGGTCAGAAGCACCTGTTCAAGTACTTACTCTTTGGAAGCAGATCCCCAGACCTTTCTTCTGAGGTGCTTCTAAGTGGACTCACGCCTCCAGCCTTTTAATGAACAGTAAGGCATCTTAACTGACATAGAAACTACCAATAACCCCTACTCTCCTGTCCCTAAAATGCAGGCCACCTTCCCACGATGAGGGAACAGTCTGTCGGTTCCAGGTGCTTCTTGGCCCCTGGAGATATCAGGGGGCCCTGGAGCCCCTCACGCACTCTCTCGGAGTCACTTCACTAAGCCGCACCGCCTTCGAGGGGATTCTGACTCGCGCCAACCAAAGAAAAACAACAAGCTCCCTGCCGTCAAGCCGATACCCACTCCTAGCAGCCCCACAGGACAGGGAGAACTGCCCCTGTGACTTTCCGAGACTGCAACGCTTTGTGAGAGTCGAAAGCCCATCTTTCTCCCACGGAGAGGCTGGTGGTTTCAAACTGCTGACCTTGTGGATCACAGCCTAACTAGTCACTATTACACCACCAGGGCTCTGATTCACTGAATAAAATAGAATGAAATTGCCCTCACACCCACACTTTCTGAAAGACCAGAGCCCTGGAGGGCCTGACTGGTGCCAGCATGAGTAGAAGACGGGCTCAGCAAATGGGCACTTTAGAGAGTGGAGGAAGCCGTTCTCTTGAAAAGAAGAGTCAGGCTGCCCGGGTCCTGCCTTTGGCTCTGGGCCTCAGTCCAAACTCCTGCAGGACTGGTGCATAAAAGGAGGTGCTCCACCCACCCCATCCCCACCCTACACAGCAGCAGAAAGATTATCTCTACACATCAGAATTGGGCTCTTATAAAGTACCAGGCCCTGCACTGAATATTTTACATGGCATATTTTGTTTAATCTCCATGACAACTCTATGTGGGCAATACCCTTATTGCCTGCATCTTACAGATGAAGATCTTCAAAATTAGATCACTTTCCCCAGATCACAAGTCCTAATAGGTGCCAGGGCCCCATGACTAAGTCCTAATCTAGAGGGCCACTGAGATTGCTGAGAGATGCCTGGGTGGCTGAGGGCGAAGTTGACAGAGCTTGGCTGCAACTCTTTGACAAGCTCCATACCCTCCCTCTCCCTCATTCAAGTCCTAAAAGACTTCAAAAGGCCCAGAGGCTACATAGCTTTGGCTTCTTCTGTTACTGATCAAGGCTTCCTTCAAATGAGTCATTTCCTTCAAAATGGAAGGGGACTTTTTTTTTTTTTAAGATTTAAGAAGAAATTTCCACCCCCTACTCTACCCCCAGCCCACACTCACTTCTTGAGATCCAGCTCAGGCCTCTAAGCCCTATGCCAGGAAGCTTCGCTTACAGAGTACCTGGCATCCAGCCTCAGGGACAGAAAGAGCCTCGCCTCTTCAGAAGTTGGCCATCTCTGGTTGTCTTCATCTACCAGGTGGGCTTTTGGGTCTTCTATTCTGCCCCTCCCCCTTCCTGAGCGTTGCTCTCTTCCCGGCTTTTATTGGCCTTTCTCTCCTTTCCTCTCTTCAATCCTTCTATATTGTTCCCTTCACCCTACTTGTTGAAGCTCTGTCCGAATCATTCTGGCTTTAGTTTCCTATTCAGATGCCTTCTGCCATGAGGGTCACTTACTAGCTAGCTTCCCACTATCAAGTTGAGCTGTACCTATCTCATTCCATAACCAATTCCACAACTCTAGTCAACCTTTGGAGACCTGACTGTTTCCTGCCACCTAGATAATATATTCAGATTTGAGTCTTTATTAGCTTTATTAAACTATAATTATACAGTAAAATTCAGCCATTCACCATCCCAATCAAGATATGTAGCATTTCCTTCACCCCAAAAAATATTTCTTATAAACATTTACAACCCCTCCACCCCTAGGCCCTGGCAACTCCTATCTAATTTCTGTATCTTACTTTGCACATAGTTCTTGTTCTTAGGTTCCGTCCAGTCGGTTCTGACTTAGAGCTACCTTATTCCCAACAGAGTGAAACACTGCCCAGTCCTACACCATCTTCGCAATTGCATATCAATAGTATCATAAGGTATTTGGTCCTTTTGTGTGCTGTTTCTTCTAAATAGGGTAATGCTTTCAAAACTCATCCACGTTGCCATGTGTATTACCAAAAGCGATTCTACTGTACGGTTATCCTACACCTTGTTTATTCATTCGCCAGTTAATAGGTATTTGGGTAGAATCAAGTTTGTAGTTAAGATGACTAAAGTTATCAACATTCATGCACAAGTCCTTGTGTGAACATATGTTTGCATTGCCCCCAGGTAAATACTTGGGATGGAGATGGCTGAGTAGTGTGGTCAGTGAATAGACACTTTATAAGAACTGGCTGGCCTGGTTTCCAACACAGTTGTCTCGTTTTACACAACCGTGTCTAGTATAGGAGACTTCCAGTTGTCCTGCATCCCCACCAACACTTGCTATGTTCAGTTATTTCAATTTTACTCATTCTAAGAATGTTGTGGTGGTTTTTAAGTTCATTTCCCTGACGACTGTACAGTATGTGAATTAAATCATATCTTATTAGCCGCTCACATCTTCCTTTGTGGTATCTTTTGCCATTTTTACAGGGTTGTCGTGTTGATAGACTGCAAGCGTTTCTCCAGACAATTTAGCTCCTTTTCTTCTTTCTTCCTCCCGCTAGACCCCTTTCCCCCATGGGGCCTCAGTCCCAATTTCTGACTCGCTGCCTCAATTTTCCAAGTCTTCCGTTATCTCCTTTTCTCTCTCTCCTCCTTTGCCTCCTTTCTTTTTCTTCTCCCCAACTCCCATTCTCCCTTCTCTCTTCCAGGACACCTCAAAGCCTGAGAATCGTGTCTCCTTACACATTTCACATTGAAATAACCTCATCATAGATTTCACTTCTGGACAGGCTTGGTGTTCCACAGGGGCAAGATCTCATACCCAAATAAAGGCCCAGAGAAAAAGAAAAACGGAGCCTGGTAGGGATGGAGAGATGGCTCTCCATCCTGGCACCTACCTCCTCCTCAACTGACTAATGGTGTTTATGGATTGGAAGGCTTTTGACTCACACATAACATTTGAAAGTCATGGATATTGTGTGAAGTTCATCCTGCTTAATCAGTAGGCCAGCCGTCTCCACAAACATAAGATTAGCTGTCCACATAGTAAGGCGCTCCCTTGGCACATGTCCCAAGCCCAGCGGGGATTTACCTGGCCCAGGCATAGGGAAGGAGCAGTCGAACCCAAAGCCCACTCCTTTTCATCTCTACTTGAAGGAGCCAGGGTGCCGATGTCTGACTGCAAAGCTCGGGATGCTGGTGTGCAGGGTGCGAGAATCCCTGGACGGAGTGTGCCAGTGATTTTATTTGCTTTAACAGCTTTATTGAAATTGAATTCACGTTCTACACAATCTACCTATTTGAGGTGTCCAATTCAATGGTTTTCAGTATAACCGCAGAGATGTGTAACCATCCTCGTAGTCCATTTTAGAACATTTTTGTCACCTCAGAAGGAAACCCTGTCCTCGTAGCTACCACTCCCCTGCTCCTCTCTTCTTCCACCCCCTGAAAACCCCCTTTCTATCTCTGTAGAGCTGCCTATTCTGGAAATTCCATGTCCATGGAACCAGCTAATACATGGTCTTCTGAGACAAGCTTTCTTTCACTGGCTTTCATGTGTTCAAGACTCATCCATGTTATGACACGTATCAGCGCCTTATTCTTTTTTATGACCGAGAAAATAACTAGTTTCCATGAGCTGTCCTCACCACTGTTCCCTCTTACAGCTGCCTAAAACTGTGAGATTCAGATTCATCTTCTATGTCATTGCACAGTCTTATGCACACACATGCACACATACGTGTGTGTGGTGTAGATTACTAATAGTAATAGTCAGTAAATGGCTCAGGAGCCAGACTGGTTTTAAATTTCCCTTGTTTTGTACTAGTTGGGTTATCTTTTTTTTTTTTTTTTTACTCTATATTTTGATTTCTCCTCTGAAAATGGGAGGTAAGGATTGCCTTAGTTAATATTTGTAGAGCACTTAAAATTGCCTGGCATAAGTGACATGTTAAACACATCACGTTCCAACAGTAGATTTTCATTTGAGGAAGATGAGCATTTGGGGAGGCGGGAGAGGACTGGGGTAGAATGAGGAGCACGCTGATGCCTTGTTGACTGTAAGTTGGAAAGTTGTCATCCTCGGCAGGCTCTGAGCAGTGATTGGGTTACTGTCCAAGCCTGTCCCCTTAAAAACCCACAAGCTAGTCCCTCTCCACCACACTATCCCCACAGCCACAAACCGTAGAGAAGAAATCTGATGGGAGGTGTTGGACATGGCCTTTGGTTTCCAGCTGCACAAGCTGCTTCCGCAGCAGCGCTGTCTGCTGTCAGGCTCGCTGGTTCTATTTGCTGGTCTCTTCTGTTCCATTTCTGTATAGGTCAGCACTTACCACCCTGTACCTGCCTCTCCCGGACATTCCACAGCCGTCGTCAATCTACCCAACTCTCAGCAACACCTCTCGACTAACATGTAAGTAGAGCACCCCACCCTCTGGTTCCTGGTTCTAGCACAGGGCCATCTTTGCTTCAAAATATGCTGCTCAGAAAGACAACTCCTCTTCCATTACAATCTCTGAGGGAGATAATGGTGATGAACACAAATGAGCTTACCACATCCTCTTATCTCCTTAGTTTACAAAGAAGGAAAACCTGGAAGGTTTTATACTGAACTATCACACGGAGATTAGACAGAGAGCAAATTTGTCTTCTTTTAGATTCAAAGTTGTGGGTCATAAATAGATCTTGCTTTCGTAATCAGAGGAAATATTTAGCCAGGGAGTGGAGTAGAGTGGGGTGGGAGAGAGACCTGCAGGGAACACTGCATCAGCCCCTTTGATAAAGCATTCCAGTGTCACGGTCTTTAGAGGCTTCTTGAAGTCCACCACCACCCCTGTCCCCAACCCGATAAATCAAAATGGGTTCATTTTAATACTATTACGAAGGTCATCTCACATTCTCTACTGTGGTCACCACCACCCACACACACACACCCCGACTCATCCGTGGATGTTACTTACAAAATTCCCACATGAACTTTGGAGCAGTCTTTGGTCTAGCCTGAGGACATTTTTGCCATTTCATAAGCCCGCTTCCCCGTGTCCCCTTCCCTGCCTCCGTTATGTCCACTTGTCCCATTCTCTGAGGACGGAGTAGGTGAGTGAGGCTTCTATTCTGACTCCTATTTCCCTGTACCTTGCTGGCCGAGACCATGGGCTCGCACGGTGAGATGAGATGAAGAGGGATAAAAACTGAGCCATTACTTCTAGGCTGAGACCTGGCTCCATTGCAGGTAGCAAACTCCATTCTCAATTCTGTTCCTTGTAGTTAAAATGCCAACATTGGCCTCCGTTATGTTCAGCTGCGTGCCACACCATGGAGGAGGAGGTGCATCTAAAGAGACTCCTCCTTTTATATGCCTCCATTGTCAAGGAAGCGATGATGTTAAAAGTTTCCACGGGTAGCCACTGGGTCACTGGGTCTGGGGTTCCATCGCCCTTCAACTCTACAAGGTTCTAGCTCCTTCGGCTCTCACAGGGGGAGCTTCTGTGGGCAGGCTCGCCTTCTTCCTTCACCAGCATCCCTCTGTCACCCAGGTTTGTCGCCCTGCACTCCTACTCAGCCCACGGGCCCGATGAGCTGGACCTGCAAAAGGGAGAAGGCATCAGGGTCCTGGGGAAGTTCCAAGACGGCTGGCTCAGGGGCGTCTCCTTAGTCACCGGGCGAGTCGGCGTCTTCCCAAACAACTATGTCATCCCCATTTTCAGGTGCGTCCTCTTGATCTCAGAATTCAATGGTTGGGTCATTCTAGGCCAGGGAACATCTGAGGATGGAACTGATGGAGAACTCAAGACTTTTTCAGAGTGTGGGCCAGAACCATCCTTTGCCTTCAACACTTAACTTTTAATAAAGAACAATTAGTATAGCTTTGCACAAGTTACATGTCCTTTCATGCCTTTTAACTCTTTGACTATGCCCCCCAAATCTTGGAAGGTATGGAAACTGGTGAGGAAAGTGACTTTCAGGAGTTAAGTCATAGGTTTTGTGTTGCACAAACCCCAGGAACCCCCATTTTGTGCCCTCCATCCTGACACTCCATCTAGTGGCGTCATGGGAAAGGTGCTGATGATCTGTTAACCTCCCAGAGCGCGTTGGGAAATGTCTCAGTGTGAGAGGCGACTGGCATTTTCCATGGGCTCAGACCGTGACTAATCGATCCACACTCAAAATCTTGAAATTTGTTAAAAGTTGCAAAATCTCCCAATGCAACCTGAGGGTGTCTAAACTGATGCTTTCAAGAATTCACTCATTCAACAAACATTTATTGAGCACTAGCGATGTGTCAGGCACCTTTCTGGACACTGAAAAGCACCACTGAACAAAAGAAGCAAGAATCCCTGCCCACCAAAACTTACATTCTGGTGGGAAAGCAGACCGCTAGAATACCAACATGCATGGATGGTATGGTAATGAAACAGACTAAGGAGAAAATAAAACAGGAACAGGGGTAGAATGTGTGAACATGGTTACAAGTTTCCGATTAAGTTGTCTGGGGATGACATTATGGAGAAGATGGAAGAGTGAAGAAATTGAGGCATTGAGCCAAGCAGGTAGCTGGGAAAAGAGTATTCTGTGCCAAAGGAACAGTGGGAACAAAGACTTCCGGGTCAAAGTTGCCTGTCACAAAGGTCAGTAGGATTGTAGCAGAGCAAGGGAGGGAGATGAGCTCAGAATGGGAACGGGAGGAGGCTTTAGCAGATAGAGTTTTTTAGGTCATGATGGAGAAATTGGCTTTAATTCTAATGTAAGATTTTTGAGATGAAGAATGATATGACCTGTCTTATGTGTTAACCAGAATCACTCTAATAGCTGCGTTGAGAATACGTGGTAGAGAGAAAAGTGGGAATGCAGAGGAGTGAAATAAGAAGCTATTAAATGATGGTTTGAACCAGGATGTAGGAGTCCTGGAGGCAGGGAGAAGTGGCTAGGTTCTGAATATACCCTGAGAAAGGTAATGTCAACAGGATTTTCTGACAAATCAAATATCAGCTATGGAAGCTAAGAGAATCAAAGTGAGTTCAAGGTTTTGCCCCAAATCACTAGCAGATGGAGTTGCCTTTTACTGAGATAGAGAAGTGAAAAACAAATGGAGCTTGTTTTGAGGTAGGAAGAAATGAAAAGTTTTGTTTGGGCAGGATAAGTCTGAAGTGCCAGTTTCTTTTTTTTTTAAATCATTTTGTTGGGGGCTCATACAATTCTTATCACAATCCATATATACATTCATTGTGTCAAGCACATTTGTACATTCATTGCCCTCATCATTCTCAAAACATTTGATTTCTACTTGAGCCCTTGGTATCAGCTCCTTATTTTTTCCCTTCCCTCCCCGCTCCCCATTCCCTCATCAACCCTTGATAATTTATAAATTATTTTGTCATATCTTACACTGTCCAATGTTTCCCTTCACCCACTTTTCTGTTGTCCGTCCCCCAGGGAGGAGGTTATATGGAGATGCTTATAATCAGTTTCCCCTTTCTACCCCACCTTCCCTCCACCCTCCTGTATCACCACTCTCACCACTGGTCCTAAAGGGATCATCTGTCCCGGATTCCCTGTGTTTCCGGTTCCTATCTGTACCAATGTACATCCTCTGGTCTAGTCAGATTTGTAAGGTAGAATTGGGATCATGATAGCGGGGAGTGAGAAAGCATTTAAGAATTAGAAGAAAGTTGTATGTTTCATTATTACTACACTGCACCCTGACTGGCTCATCTCCTTCCTGCGACCCTTCAGGAAGGGGGTGTCCCATTACCTACAGATGGGCTTTGGGTCTCTAATCTGCACTCCCCCTCATTTACAATGATATGATTTTTTGTTCTTTGATGCCTGATACCTGATCCCTTCGACACCTGGTGATCACACAGGCTGGTGTGCTTCTTCCATGTGGGCTTTGTTGCTTCTGAGCTAGATGGCCGCTTGTTTACCTTCAAGCCTTTAAGACCCCAGACGCTACATCTATTGATAGCCAGGCACCATTAGCTTTCTTCACCACCTTTGCTTATGCACATGTTTGTCTTCAGTGATCGTGTCAGTAAGGTGGGCACCCACTGATATGATTTTTAGTTCTTTGATGCTTGATAACTGGTCCCTTCTACACCTTGTGTTCAGACAAGCTGGTGTGCTTCTTCCATGTGGGCTTTGTTGCTTCTCAGCTAGATGGCCACTTGTTTACCTTCAAGCCTGTAAGACCCCAGACGCTATATCTTTTGATAGCCGGGCACCATCAGTGAAGTACCAGTTCCAAAGACGATTGTGAGAAGCTGAGTCTGCTGTTCAGGAGGGAGGTCTTGGCCTGAGATGGCATGTGACATTTTCAGATGAGGTAAAGTCATCATACTGGGATCAGTTGTATTGGAGAATGGCAGTAAACCAGTAGCTAAAATCGTTGATGAATGAGGGAAGCTATCTAGATGGTAAATACTGAACTACAACCAGTAGGATGGTGGGCAGTAGTGTCTGATGGTAAAAGAGTCAAAGCTGGAAAGTATTGTGGGGTCAGAGAAGAAGGAGCAAGGGAACACTAGCTTAACATTTCTATTCCGTGGTATCTAAGACCTATGCCTAATACTAGGATTTACTAATGTATCATGCCTTAACACAAAACCTGAAAATACCATCAAAGAATCATGAGGATAAAGGAAAACATGTCACTTATCTTCCAAACTAGGACATTTTGGAGATAAATTGGGACCACTCTTCATGTACCATGAGAGCAGGTATAAATTGAAACTCTCCTGGGGAAACCAGGACATAGGTCACCTAACTAGAAGAGACGTAGAATTCTATCCCAGGGCATCTTTCTTTCCTCGTTAACTTTCCTCCAGGGCACATTTACTGTGTTAAGTTGAGACTGAGCTGAAGAAGCAACCCTTTCTCATACAGGAGTGCATGTCAGATCATGGATGAAGTTTCAGCGTAATTGATTCCATTGAAGCCACACTTTTCCCAGCCCATAGAAACCTGAGCATATGTGTAAATTGAGATACTACTAATGGTAAGGGGTGTTCTTGCTTATAGGAAGCTAGCAACCCTAATAAGAACAAATTGCTGTCGGTGGTTTTGCTCCTCAGGCTTATTAGGTACCAGAGAATCCATGGTTTTCCAGTTTGTTTAAATTCTTTGATGGTTTTTCTGATGCAAAGAAAGTTCCATCCTCCTAATCTTGGATGGGGATGACAGATACCCAATTTGTCTAGCTGGGTGCAGCTCATCCTTGTGCTCAACCATTTTTTCCACTGTGGGAAGTGCAGTTTCTCCCATTTCTCAGGGCTGAATAATGCTGTCCTTTGTCAACTGAGTTTCTGCTGCCTTACCTGGCTAGGTTCTAGGATTGAGTGGGTTGGACAAAATGTGCCAGGCTTCTTTCTGCTGTTTGGTTCTATATGTGTAAGTTGGGATTTTTTGGTTGTTGTTTACTTGATTTGTTTGTTTCTTTCCCAAAGTCTTGCCTACCTCTTTGCAATCAGGGGACCATTCTTGTTCTAAAACATCAGAGTTGGAGGGTGGGATAAGCTCTCTGCATGTCTGAACCTTTGCTCTTTAATTTTCAATGTTTATAGAAGCACAATCTAATCTTTTTTTAATCGTTTTATTAGGGGTTCGTATGACTCTTATCACAATCCATACATACATCAATTGTGTAAAGCACATTTGTACATTCATTGCTTTCGTCATTCTCAAAACATTTGCTCTCCACTTAAGCCCCCGGCATCAGGTCCTCATTTTTCCCCTCCCTCCCCCGCTCCCCCCTCCCTCATGAACCCTTGATAATTTATAAATTGTTTATTTTGTCAGATCCTACCCTGTCCGACGTCTCCCTTCACCCAGTTTTCTGTTGTCTGTCCCCCAGGGAGGAGGTCACATATAGATCCTTGTAATCAGTTCCCTCTTTCCAACCCACTCTCCCTCTACCCTCCCAGTATCGCCACTCACACCACTGGTCCTGAAGGGATCATCCGCCCTGGATTCCCTGTGAACCTTTGCTCTTAACATCAGCATTATTCCTGAATGAAATGAGGCAGCCATAGTTAGGGAGTTGAACTGTAGACAGAGTTGACCAAATGCCAAAGTTTAGATTTAAGATTCTGCACATGAGCCTTTTAACTATCAAGAAGCAACGGCTGCTGCACTATTCAGTGCTCCAGCCCTGAGTACTAGAACGAATGCATGCTAGAAGGTGACGCCAAACTGCCCACTACCGTTGACCACAACTCTTCCTTGTGGTCTCTTCCATCATGATGCGCTCCCCTATCTCTTGGAAGCATCCATTGACTCCTGCTGTGCAGAGCACGCGTCCAGTGCTTGTCAGCAACTGATCCCTTCCTAATAGTACCTCTATCTTCCTGGGCTTCCTCTATCACCTACAGTCTTGGTAGGAGATAAAGTAGCCCTCTTGTTTCAGAGGCTAAAGAAACCAAATCTTCTAATCTTTCTCAACCCATCACCGAAGGTAAGGAACAAGTTAAGCCAATCTGGCTGGAAAGGAAGTGGGCAAAGTTGACGGCTATTTGTAACAGAAGCTCAAGCAACAGCATCTGATCAGACTCTTCCTGACAGGTGATCTCTGCTGCTAAGCTCGCTAGCACCTTCTTTTTTTTTTTTTTCCTAGCACCTTCTTGGAGCCATATCCAAGCCCTTCCTCCACTTCCTGTCCTCCCAGTGACTCCTCTGCTGCCTGACCAGCCAGAATAGTTTCTCCTTTCTTGCAAGCAAAATTTTAATGACACATACAACCGCCCAGGGTCCGATGGATGGACAAACATGACAAAGAGGCCACCTCTAACTTGAACACTGTGCACGGAACTAAATCAGTATTTTCAAGGCCCAACTTTTCTCCTTGCCACAAGGCTGCTGCCAGGGGTGGTCACAATAGAACTGCTGTTTAAAATATCTCTTCCAAATATCAAGCAAGCTCTTAAGACTCATAACTCAGACAGAGAGCTATCTGTACACTCGAACCAGGTGCAATGGAGCAAAGCGGCAGCAACATCCACGCCTCCCACAGAAGACATTTTCCAGAATGTCTTTAGTCTCCCCATCTGGAAAAACGAGGTTAATGTCTTCCAGTCTGGGGTGTCATGGGGATTCGTTCACATCTGTTAGCAGAGTGCTCTGATGTTAGCAGAAATTGTTAGGTAATTGCTGAGCTTTGTGCTAAAGGACATAGAGGGCGTGGTTTGGGGATTTAGGAGTTCCTGGAATTGGGCCCACTGCAGGACTTGGAAAAATGAGAGGTCACGACTCAGTCTATAAACAGTCATTCAGAGAAGGAACCAATGGAATAAGGCTATCTTGGGCCTAATTAACTGCACGCTGTAACCACAGCTGCTGCTGTTGCTACGACTACTACAGCAGCATATGAATTTGAAATTGATCCTTCCTCTTGCTGATTCGTTTCGTACCATCCAACACCTTGAGCCCTCTGGTTCAAAAGGCAGCAAGATTCTGCACTCTGCCCTGGAAACCAGTGCTGATGGGGATTTCTCTCTACTTCCCAGCCCTCAAGGAGTCCTGGTGGTGTCGTGGGCTATGCTTTTAGCTGCTCACCACAAGGTCTGAAGTTCAAACCCACCAACCACTTACCAGCTACTTTGCAGGAGAAAATGAAGCTGTCTGCTCCCCTAAAATTTATAGTCTCTTCCTTGAGTTCTTTAGTGCTTCCTCCCCCACACCCCACTATCATGACCCCAATTCTATCTTATAAATCTGCTAGACCAGAGCATGTACACGGATACAGGAGAGAGCTGGAAACACAGGGAATCCAAGACAGATAAACCCCTCAGGACCAATAATGAGAGTAGTAATGCCAGGAAGGGAAGAGAAGGTGGGGGTAGAATGATCTACACAAAACCCACTCCTAGGGGGACAGACAACAAAAAAGTTGGTGAAGGGAGACATCAGTCAGTGTAAGAGATGGAAAAAATGATAATTTATAAATTATCAAGGGTTGGTGAGGGAGGGAGGAATGGGGGGAAAGGTGTAGTTGATACCAAGGGCTCAAGTAGAAGGCAAATATTTTGAAAATGATGATGGCAACAAATATACAAATGTGCTTGACAACATGGATGGATGGATGGATTGTGATAAGAGCTGTATTAGCCCCCAATAAAATGATTTTTTTTTTTAATTTACAGTCTCCGAAACCCTCAGGAACAGTTCTAAAGGGCCACTATGCGTTAGAATAGACTCAGTGGCAGCTCTTAGTTCCTGAACATGGTCACCTCCCTTCCTGGTGGGCAGCCCCACCTCTCTCTACTGATTAGAGGCAGACTGATTAAAAGTCCCACTGCCTCAAGCATCAGTTAGTTCCTAGGGCACTTATGTGTATACACTTCTTGGGCAACTTTGACCACAGGTAAATGATGCTAAACCTATATTCATACCATACTCATTGATTATTAAACTACATATCAGTTTGGGGTTTTCTTTGTTTTAACAAAAGAATGAAAGAGGAGAGATTATCTGAAGGAAAACCTGGAGGCCTTTGCAAGAGAACAGTCATGAGAATCATCTCTGGGCTGGGACCTTCGTGGACCTAGTGTTTCCCAGGGAGTGAGCTGAGGTGATTTAATCAGGAGAATGACAAGTTGATGGATGGACTATTTTGTAAGGAAACGTGGTGTTGGCATGGGATTGGTGGAAGCGCCTGTCAGATGACAGCCACACCCAATAGAGTTCAGAAAATTGTCCCTTGACTAGAAATAATGAACAAAGGAGTGTTGTTTTATAAAATCATAATCCAGCAGCGTAAGTCCGCTTGCAGAGCAGGGAGTGAATGTAAACATGTCCGGCGAGACAGCTGCGTGTTCTGTGCTGTTTGTACTTGAGGTATGTAACATTTGTATACCTGACTTTGTTTTAAAGATGAACGGAAATGCGCATAGCCAAGTCTTGAGAGACGAGATTGAATGTGTGTTTCTTAAAAATACAACTTTGCGTTGTACTTTGAAATAAATGATGCTTTTTTCAAAAAATAAATAAATAAATAAATAATATTTTCTTGAAAACCACAAAGACAAAGTAATTAGGGTCTAACAGATGTACTTCCGGCCTGCCAGGTTTTGTGTGTGTGTATTTGGAGAGGGATGTGGCATCTGTAGGAAATGCTCTAACACTAGCCACCAAGTGGAGGGTAGCCCAGTATTGAGAGCATGGATGCTGCAGAGGACAGAGTTCGAAGCCAAGGCCCAGCCATTGCTTGAACAAGTAACTAGAAGTCTCTTTGGGGCTGTTGCTATTTTACTTTTTTTGAATAGTTATGCTAATAGTACCTATTTCAAAAAGACTTTTGTGAAGAACCAATGAGATCATATAGGCAAAGCACAAGGCCAATGCCTAGTATACAATAAGTGCTCAATATGTGTTAACTTACTACCATCAATGCTGAGTGCAGAACATATATGCAGTGCACAGAAGATATAAAATCTCTGCCCTCAAAGAGTATAGAATCTCTTGGGAAAGGCACTTAAGAAATAAGAAATCGACACTATAAAGCAAGATGAACACACATACATATATAATGCTTCAACCTCAAAGGCTGAAAGGATGCAGGGTGAAGAATGATCAGAGCTGTAGTGAAAGATGGCAAAATTCCAGTCTTCTAGTTCTATAGGGTCTGGCAAAATTGACACACTCTCTCCCCCCTCACTACCCTCACATAGTTATCAAGGTCGAATGAGTTGGGGTCTAGATATTAGCCCTGTGTTGAGGAAGATGAGGGGCAGTCACATTTCCTATGTGGTTGGGAACTTATAGTGTTTTGTTTTGTTTTGTTTTCCATTAAGATTCTTAACTGAATATTTTCTTCCTCTCTTTCTTCTCTTTAAAAAAAATTTTAAACACCAGAAAGACATCTAGTTTTCCAGAGTCCCGGAGCCCTGGTCTCTACGCTACATGGACATTATCCACCTCCTCTGTGTCCTCCCAAGGCAGTATTTCTGAAGGTGATCCCCGGCAAAGCCGTCCCTTCAAAACCGTCTTCGTGCCTACAGCCATAGTCAACCCTCTGAGGAGCACAGCCAGCCCGGCGACTGTAGGACAGGGGTCTCTTCGCAAAGGGCGGAACAGCATGAGAAAGAGTAAGTGGTGGCAAAGAGGTACGTGCCTAGATCTAAGATGGGGTGGTGTCTGACCTTGGGGGAGACAGAGTGCTTTAGTCACGAGCAAGAATCTCAACTATAGGAGGTGCCTGTGCAAAGGTGCTTTACAATGCCCAGATGATGAGCTGTCTGACTGGAGGAAGCAGGCAAACTCAAGGCTGCTGTCCTTGGTCACTTCATGCATGTGCATTGACTGACCGGGGTGATAGGAGCCTGAGAGCCATCAGGTAATTAGAGCACAGCCCAGGTGGATGCCAGTTCTTACCAAGACAGATCCACCACTGCACTTGCAAACTATATCTGCAGGCAACCCCTCAGGGAGTGCCCACGGGGAAATAAAGGAAGGATGAGGAAGAGAAGGGAGGAGGAGGATTAAGAGGATAACTCTCAAAGTCCCTAAATTCCTCTTTGTTATTTAAGTAATACATGCACAGAATAAATATATTTCTTACAAATGCACGTTTCCCTCATATCCTGATCCATCCCAAATTCTTCCTCTTCCATATATAAATGTACCTTCTTCTCATATTCTCTGCACTGCTCTGACCTTGCTTTAACTTTCACACACAGAACGCATATCCATACATATAGACCTATTTTAACAGGTAGGCTTTTAGCTCTTATCATCATACAGAGATTCTGCATAGGATTTCATTCTCAAGGGTTGCAAAAAGTGTTTGAAACTTATAGTCCTACAAAACATCAAAGTTCTATATTCTTAGATTTCTCCAGAAGAGGAAGAGCCAAGAAAAGCACATGCGGTGTATTCTGTGTCCCTTGATCTAAACTGGGCTCTGTAATAATCCTTTTTTTTTTTTGTATCTTAAAAAAAATGTGCAAATGCCATAAGACAGTCAAAGCCTGAGAGGAGCCTATGGGACACTATGCCATACAAGAAAATTTCCCAGGAAAAATGGAATACATCAGCAGCACCATTTCTCAAAGTTTTCATCTGAAGACCATTTTAACCGACAATCCCCCTATTCTTGGCTCTAAACTCCACTCACCCATGTGTCCCTCTTCTCCCTTTACATCTTCCTCGACTCCCTCACCCACCACCGCCATGACCACCACCAACCTTCTCTCAACAAAAAAATCAATCCTACCACACTACGCAGGGTACTAATCTCTTCCCTATTCAGCTTTCTGTTTTGTAAAACTGGAGATAAAAATAATGCCTACCTCATCGGGATAGTGTACTAATTTAATAAAATGATCTATGTGAACTTGATAGCATAGCGTTGGCACTTAATAAATTTTCAAAACATGGTAACTGTGTTTACCACTGTTGTTGTTGTCAGTGCTGGCACATAGAACACCCTGTGTGTGCAGACTAGAACCCACTCCATCAGGCTTTCAAGCTGTGCCCTTTCGGAAGCAGATCTCCAGACCTCTCTTCTGAGGTACCCCTGGGTAAATCGGAGCCAACACCTTTTGGCTAGTGGTCAAGCACTTCACCTTTTAAGCCATCTTGGGACTCGATTTTTATAGTTCCATACACCCTGGTGGTGTATTGGGCTACACTTTAGGTTGCTAACCTCAAGATCAGCAGTTGGAAGCCACCATCTGCTCCACAAGAGAAAGCTGAGGCTCATACTCCCATGAAGATTTGGAAACCCACAGGGGCTCTTCTCCTCTGTCATGTAGAGATCGCTAGGAGATGGAATCAACTTGATTGCAGGGAGTTTGAGGTTCTGGTTGTTTTCTTAGCATTGTCATTGCTACTGTCACTAAGCCAATCATGGGGGCCCACCCAGAGTTGGCACTGGCTGTTGGAATGTTCACACTCCATCCCTACCACCTATGAATGCAGACAATCCCATCTCATTGGCGACCGTGCCCACTTCACACTCTATTTCTCAGCCTTTGCATAAATCTCGACTAAGAGCTTTGTCCACCCAACACTATGTGTGCAGGGAATAAGAAAGCACTAAGCTGCTTGGGAATTAGGAATCAGCTCAGTAAGCAGACAGAGCGTAAAGGCAGTTTTCCTTCTCTCTGTCGGAGCCTATGCACGCACGAGGCCACTGCGTGCTGCTTTGACTTTTCAAGGCCCTGAGGCTTCCCTTTTCTCCCTTTTCCCAAGGTGAGGCTGGTCAGGCTATCAGTCTTCCCGGCGTGGCGAGAAGTGACAGGAGAATTGACTGTGGGCAGCTCACAGGGCTGTCAGCGGAAGAATAAATGTCTAAATGGAAAGGTCAGCCTTGTGTAAATGGTGACTGGCTCGCTCGCAGCAGCTGCAAACACCGACTGTGTTAGTGAGGGTTCTGCTTTTCACGTCCACGTCCAGAGCGATGATGGAGAGTCACAATGCGGAAAGTGGCCTTGGCCGGGCCCTTTGTGCTGGCCGCAAATGGCGTGATTCAAGCACATGTCCATGCAGTATCACTAAGGGCCAGTCTCTGTCTGGGAGGTCATCTACACTCTCTAAGTGCTGGCAGAGCCTGATGTGGAACAGACCCACTTTGCTCTCTGGAGGATGCCCACTTACTACCTGGAGTGCAGAAAACTTCTGACTCCGCAGGTCACCTTCATGACCCATGATCAACAGGGGAAGAGAAGAGGATCATCACAGTTTAAAAAAAGAGAGAGCCAAAAAAAAGCTCAGGGAAAGGACAAACTCCTGCACTTTGTGTTTTCAGGTATCCTGTGGTGGTGTAGTGGTTACCTATTGGGGTACCAACCACAAGGTTAGCAGTTCGAAAGCACCAGTCAGCTCCTTGGGAAAAGGATGAGGCTTTTTACTCCTGTAACAGGTTACAGTCGCAGAAACTCCCAGGGGCAGTTCTACTCCATCCTCCAGGATTGCTGAGTCTGAATTGATTTGATGGCAGTGAGTTTGGGTTTTTCGGTTGGTTTTCTTTTACCCAAACAGTTAATGCACTTGACTTCTAACCAGAAGGTTTGAGGTTCAAGTCCACCCAGAGGTGCATTTAAAAATGCTTCTCAAAAATCAGTCATTGAAAACCCTATGGAGTTCAGTTCACTTCTGTTACACCTGGGATCACCATGAATCTGAATCCACTCAATGACAACGGGCTTTATCCTTTACCCAAAATAATGAGAGCTAGCCGACATGGGCATGAATTCTGTTCCAGCCCCTCTACTAACGCCTGCACACATCGTCTAAGGCAGCCCTCACCACAGCCTGTGAGGTGTGCCTGCTGTTAACATCTTCTGTTCACAAAGGGGGTATCCGAGAGGAAGGGTGGTGGCATGGCCGACCTACCCAATGCTCCCTGGGAGTCGGTGTGATCCCACATCTTGTGTTAAGAGACTGCAAAGCTCAAACACACAGGCTGAGTTCTGCAATAACCATTCTGAATTTACGTCTATCTGGTGTCCCCTTGATCTAGTGTCAGCATTCCCCTGAGCTCACTCACCTTGCTTCTCCCCCTCCATCCACAGACAGAATGTGAGGCCGCCGGCAGGGCACTCCAGTTTGTTCAAATGTGTATCAGCAATTCGCTGCTCAGAAGCCCCTCTTCCTCTCCCTCTGGGACTTCTCGGTGGTCTCTGTCCTGTTTCTCAGTCTCTGCTCTCCGATTCTGTCTCATGGTTCTTTCTTGCATGTCTCTGTATTCTTTTCTCACTGGGAAGCTGTCTCTGCCTGTGTCTCTGTCTCCCTCTTTTCCCCTTCATTCTCCATCTTAAGGTGTGGAGGGCAAGAGTAGAAGGTGTGTGTGTGTGTGTGTGTGTGTGTGTGTGTGTGTGTGTGT